TGCCTCTGACCCTCTTAACACTGTGAGGTTTCTCTCTATTGCACTTGAGGGGCTATTTTACATCACTTACTCCTAATTTATAGAGAGGCTTGCCCTGCTGCCTCAGAGGGCTTTCTCCTTCTATCCAACTTTTGCAGTTTGAAAGCTGAGGAAGCAAGAGCTAGGGGTCACTGCTCCTCTTTGGAGAACATGGCTACCAGATTGCTGAGATGACAGCTCATGCTGGGCATGGGTGTAAATGTGGGGAGCTAGTTCACTTCCAGAAGGGTTTTTTTTGCAGTGTGATGAGAGAAATGATGCATTTTGACCTTGGTGAAACGTATAGCAAAACTTCTGACTTTAGCAGGGCCAGGAATTTTCCTTAGATCCTTGATCCCAAGAGTGTTACACGGATGGGGAATCATTTCCTTGAAAGCAGGGAGGAAGCCCAAACAGAGCACAGTTGCCCATTTCTCTATGCTGGCCAGATGCTGGGGATCGGACGGGATGTGATCTAGACACTTGCCAGCAAGGCTTTTCACCCTGCCTCTTCCCTAGAAACCTCTAGGCACCTCTGGGCTGCAGAGACTCTCTTACCACTGGTTGTCTCTTCACTGCTCCTTGAGGGCTATGCAGGAAATGTGGCTGCTGTGCTTTGTAGCATGTAACTCTCCAGCAGTCAGTGTAGTTTCATGCCTCCATCAGGCTGGCCAGTTGCTTCCCCCAGTAACCCCAAAGAAAGCAAGCTAACAGAGGCTGCGTGCTTGTGAGAAGGAGAGCGATGCAGACAGAGAAACATCGTCTCTGAGAGCTGTGGGCTGTGGAAGGTAAGCATGGCTGTGTTTGGAAAGGGAAGGTGTGCATCCAGCCAGGAGGGCAAATGTGAGGGAGAATCTGAAGGGACGCAGTGGGAGCTTTGCCCACTCCCATGTACTGCCCATCTGGTGTCCATTGCTGCATGTGGCTCCAGAACCTTTCTTGAGTCCAGTGGGTCATGGAGCTGACAGCTTAGTCTGCCATTAGCAGCAGGTAGGAAGGACCGTGAAGTGTGGCGATGGGGGACATTTGGCCTGACAGCATGTGCTAAATGTTAATGTAATATTCTTCAGAAATTAAGAAGAATAATGCTCATCTGAATAATTTAATGAGGAAAATAAAGCTCAGCTAGTGAGGCAGGCATAGACTCATAAATCATTTGCTCAAGTTCTCCATGCCACATGTGCGTTCACATATGGTTGTGTTCTTGTGTGGTAAAGGCATGCATGTCTATGCATGTGCATCTGCTTGGCACGTGGAATTTAAGACAGGCACATCCTAACTCTGTTGGATTCTGGGCCCAGCTGGGCGTGTACAAATATGGCTTTCTTAGAGTCAGGTGTGTTCTCTGATTACTGTGCAGCTGGAGATGATGACTGGAGGCCAGAAGAATTTGTACTTCCAGAGCCTGCTCTGCAAGCCAGAAGCATGTCCTCTCTGCTGTCCTGTTACTCTCTTTCTCCCCCAAATGGGACGGGTAAAGCTTGACCATCCTTTCTGTGTGTCGAGTTCCTGTAGGGCGCAGAGCTCTTTGAGACCAGTGTACAAAGTTTAGGACCCCACAGGGACATTTCTTAAGGCCTTGCGACCTATGTTGTTGAGTTAAAGCAACTGTGGACTCTCTTTGCATTTGTAGGCTCACACTTCTGCTTGAAAGGCCTTTGATATTTTGTTCATCTTTGATGGCAACATGGGACTTAGAGGGATCAAAATGTTGTCCTGTTTGTGGAAACCTCTGCGTGCCCAGCTCTCTGCAAGCAGGACCGTGCCTGCCTCTGCCTCAGCTGGGAGACCTCCCATTTCAGGAAGCAGCAAGCAGCTGCTCTTTTCCAAGCCTCAACATCTGGACAAATTTCTTGTGTCTTGTTTTTTCCTGTTTACCTACATCTTCTAGAGCAGATGAAGACCAGCCCAGAGACCAGACCTCAGTTCAGTGGGTGGCTCTTGAAGTCACTGGAGCTGGCAAGGTCTCTGGAAACGGGCAGCCCTTGACAGAGGGCTTGGTCTGACATTGACAGAGGGTTACTCTTCCTGTGCCCTGCCAAGGGGCTGTGTCGAGTAGGCAAGAGAGAAGCTGTGGCCACAGCTTGGGGTGCAGAGCAGTCCACGTGCTTGATCTCACCCTAGGGAGCCCCGCTTCCTCTTGTCGCCGCAGCCAGACACTGCTTCCAGACTTGCACCAGTGCTAACCCAAGTCACTGTGCTAGCATCAGCGCTGGCAGCTCTACTGCCAGTGCTGTCTTGCAGGCATCGTCCCATGGCCCTGCTGTGAGTGTGTGACCCTGTGGGGTGTGCTCCCCTGTGGTGTGCAGGCTCAGTAGGGACAGCCATGGCTCACCGTCCCAGGGGGCAGGCCCTGCAGTGCACCCTGGGCTGTGTAGCAGTCCCTGGGATGGGGGGAAGGAAGGGAGTGGACAGATGGGTAGAGAGGGCCCCCTCCCCAGAGATCATATCAAAATGTCTCTTTTGTGCAAAGCGGAGGGAATGCCCCCAAGAGCTGGTTTCCATGGCAACCACAAATGTCAGGTTCCATGTGGTGAATAACCGTTTCCATGACAACACCTCCTTTATCCTAGGTGCTGGAAGCTGGAATGACAGCCCTGTTGGGGGAGGGGACAGGGAGATGTCCTCAGGTACTTAACCCCCTTCCTCACCTCCCCTCGGCTTTTCCGACTCCTTGCCTCAAGCCTTCAGCCCCAGCATCCCTGGGTGGGTCCACGCTCACATTGGGGGGTGATGCTCTTGGCTTACATGGCATCCCTTCCTCCCTCTTTTCCTCCAAATGGATTTGCTCCTCACAGAAGCTGAGATCCAAGCCTGTCCCACCATCTCCCTCCCCATCTGTTTAGCTTAATCCTGATTTTACATCCTGGGTAGAAACAAAGCTATTTCTCAGTGCTGTGGGAGCAGTGGGGAGTGAGGTGGCCAGCTGCCCCTCTTGGGTCCTCAATGAGCCCTCTCTTCCGAGCACACATTTGGGATGCCTGCCCTCTCCCACTCAGCCTGCTGCTGAAACATCCCTAGCTTTGGCTTGCACAGGCGTATTGCTGGAGGCTGTAAGCAGCAGTAGGAGCCGCTGCCTCTCGGTGAGGAAATCTGAGGCTTTCTGGAGCAATGTCTGACCACATCCTTATGAACCCCTGCCCCACATCCCACTCAGCTCATGGACTGAAAGAGATGCCTGGTCCTTGGCAGCTCCTGCGGGGAGCAGCAGCCCAGAGGCTGGTGAGTGCCAGTGCTGCACATGCTGGGGCTCTGCAAATCCATGCAGCTGATCGAAAGTGGGAAAGGGACCCTCAGCCTTTCCCTCTCCTCCAAATGACACAGCAAGTCCTGGGAGATGGAGTTGGAGTTGGCACTGTTGCCTACCAAGGTGCAGCATGGCAGCAGTTTGGCCTTCATTTGGGGAGCTGCCAGCCAGTCTCTGGCTCTGCCAAGCAGCTTCATATCACTCCTTGAGGCAGGGATGGTATCCCTTGGGGCTGGTCCCAGCTTCTGCTCATCCTGCCTGAGATCCACCAGTCAGTAGAAGCCAGCTCACAGCCTCCAGCTGCCACAAGCACTCTCCCGTGCCCAGTGGTCAGGCTTCAGCAGCAGTGTGCCACCTTCTGGTTGGCACCTCTGTCCTGTGAACTCCAAAGTGACTTCACGGGTTTCCTCCAGCTCTTGTGAACGTGGGCTCTACCTCTGGTTTCTGGCTAGTCTGGCTCAGCCACCACTTGGGAGACTGACAGCAGTCCACATTTTGTATGCTGGCTTCTAAACACATTTCAGTTGGTGACTTTTATGGCTTGATTTAATTTTCTGTTTTGTTGTTGCTGCTGTTTTTCCTGAGGGTGTTTCCTGAGAGAGGGCAGACTATGCCTGGACCTGCAACTTGTTTGCAGGTCTTACCTGCAATATTCTGATTGTTTTTTATTATGGATGTAACTTGTTCAAGTCACTGTCAGCTTCTGTGAGTGATGCCGGGAGACGCAGACTGAGATGTGCTGCGAATGTGGAAATTTGCTGTGTGAACCATGCCTCTGGGGAGATTCTGGCTCAGTTGGATTCTGCTGGCCTGGGACTGAGGCTACAGCTTGTCAATTGCCTTACTGAGCAGCTTAGGACATGCATACCTTCCAGCAGATGAGAGTTTTTCCCTGGTTTGCAAACCAGACTGTTAAAGCTGTGGATTACTTAATTCAGCTGCTCCTGGGTAGAAGTGTTCTTCTGTATTACCTAGAGAGCTAAGCTACCCCTCAGGCTTGTTGCTTGTGGTTGGATTATTGGTGATGACACTATGGCTGCAAGAGAGGTAAACAGTTCTTCTCCACAACCAAGTGAGAGTTTTGTCACTTTCAACCTGAGCATTCCCCTTGTGGACAGGACATGTTGCTGGAGAGCAGCACTGCCCTTCTTTGGAGCCACTCTGCTGCACAGAGCTCTGACTGCATGAGAACTGGGGAAGGGGAAACGTAACGTGCCTGCTTGCTGTACGGCTCCTAGCCAAGTTCAGAGGCAGTCTTTCCTCCCTCCTGCAAGGGAAGTTAAGTGGCTCAGTTAGGTGAGGTGACCATGCCTGCGTTGAGTCAGGGTGGGCATAGGAAGAGCTTCCAGGCATAGTCTCAGCTTAGGCCACCCTGACCGCTGTTCAGTCTCCAGTCTCATGGTGATGAGCTGCTTCCTTGGAGTCCTTTCTTTGCCACTTGCTGTGTCTGAGGAGGTGGAGATTTATGCATGGTGGGCACTTCCAGGAGAGCTGTTCCCTGCAGGCAAGCAGCTGAGCAGGGAAAAGTGCCAGGTTTCTTTTTGAGAAGTCTGAAATCCATGTGGTCCCTTCTCCAAGGGTTCTGGTTGCCATCACGATGTCTTGGTTCCCTCTTCTGCCACTCTCCTATTCTGCACAGCAGGCAGAAAGGGGCACCCTGGTGCCACTGCCATCAGCACCGTGTGCCAGGCAGATGGGCCAAGCTCTAACCCTCTGCATTTCTCTTTCATTGCAGATGGCGCGCCCGATTCAAGTGAAACCCGCAGACAGCGAGAGCCGTGGAGGTAGTTGTCATCTCTCCTTGTTTCCCCTTTGACGGCTTTGTGCTTGTGAGGGTGACCAGGCAAAGAGACAGGGTCCTGACCTGGCCTTCCTATCCCCACAGTGTGTATGAAGGGATGTTTGTGTGTGACAGGGATTTCGGGGGACAGGAGGAGAGTCTAGGGATAGGCTTTGATGGGAAGCCTTCAGCTGGGCACAGCAGGCAGCTGAGAGCACCCCAGGTCCTAAGGGTAATAATGTGGCTGCCCACTCCGCTCTCTTTCCCAGCCCTTTGAGGGTACTATTAGCCTGACAGTGTCTGCCCCAGGAGGTTACTGAAGCAGGCATGCACTTTGGTGTATGGCAGCAGTGGTCCTGGAGGGTATAAGCAGTTGGGAAGAGGTTTCTCCATTCTTTAACCTGATCAGCCGAATAAAAGCCAGATCCCTGCAGGCTTTTTAACCTGTTCAGCTCACTGCTCTGCAGCTGATTCTCCTGTCTGCAGCTCACTCCTCTTCCTCCCCTGTCACTGTTGGACCATCTCAGTCCTGCAGCAGTCCCAATCGCACTGTCGAGGCCCAAGTGCTGTTGCAGAAAACAGCATGTGATGGGGAAATAGTGTCTGAAGGGAAAGGATCCGGAGTTTAGGCCTGGGATGGAGGTGCTGTCAGCTTGCAGGAGACCAGCTTGGTTAGGGCAGCATATACTGAGTAGTTCAGGGCTGGAAGATTGGGAACATGAGAATCTCTGCCGATGTAACGGCGAGCTTACAGTAGTTCAGATGCCTCCTGCAGGTGGAAAAGGTTTGCAACTCCAGCCCTTTCCAAATTTATGAACTTGTTTTGCTGCTTTTCCTTGTCTTACTGATACATTTCTTTTCTTTCCATTCCTGCATCTGCTTCTCCATGCTTTGTGCTGTTGGTGCTGCTTCTGAAAGCAGTTTGGTAGTGGGGAGGGGAGAATTTGTGTGAGACTGTTTGTCCTGTAGGGCAGCATATCCTGCATGCTGTGTTTAGATTTGGAAGGCTTTTCTTTTAAATTTTAAGGGGTCACTTCCAAGCAGTTTGTAGTGATTTTTAATTATTGCACTGGCAGGAAGATGAGATGTATTTTATATGAATGTGTGTATTTATGGTTGTGTGATCCTCCTTTTTAAAAAAAAAAAAAAGTTTTTCTGTTTAAGTCAGATCAGTTTTCCAAATAGATTCTGTGACTTTTCCTTACTTACTTGAGGGATAAGACACCTGACTTTTACTGAAGTCTGGGCATTTTTATTCCCTTGGGCTATACTGAGAATCCCAGACCTGCCACCTATAGGCATGCTCCTTTTGAAAAGGACTATGGCTTAAGCCTCCAAAGAAACTAGCACACCTAAAACATGTAGGCGTGGATTCATCTCACCTTACTTCAGCCCCTGGGTTCAGGGTTGAGTTTAAGGTCCTTGTCCATGCTATAGACAGTAAAAAGAGACCAGTGCCTTCAGGGTGACTCATGCTCTCGCTCTTGACACCAATATTAGGAGTGGATGAGCTGTCCTTTCAAGATGCCTGCAGTGGGGATAAAGGAAGCTGACTGCTCACTGGCACCTCATATCGCTTCTAGATATAACTGTTAGGTGGTCAATCCTTCCCCCACTGCATTGATTTTAAAAATGTGCACCCCAGATTTCTAATTAATTGTGTAATTGTATCTGAGGTTATTCCTAATGACTCTTTTAAAAAAAAAAATCATAGGAGAGTAGGAAAGCCTTTGCCAGTCATATCAATAACTCCACATGACAAAACCATTACATGTACACACGGACAGATCCCATGCACTCTCAGGCTGTAGGACATGGCTGCATAGCAACTGTCACAGCCAACACAGACACAGGCAGATGTACCTACAGACGGATGCCACATGTGTGCACTGCTTTGCAAATACATACATGTGCCCACTTGACACACACATTCATAGGCAAATGCACACATTTACCTTCACCAGTACCACCCATGCACAGCTGATGCCCCTGCATTAAGCCCCCATGCAACAGCAGTAAAAACAGACCATTCAGGCTGTGAATAGACTAACCACTGCAGCTTTGTTTTCTTAACAGTTTGTGTCTCTGATGAGTGCAACTCTGGAATCTCTGGTGTCTAATACTAGGCTGAGGTAGTTTCTGCAGTCTTTCTTTTCCTGGTGAGACACTAGCAGTAACTCTTTTCTATACACAGCCATCTAGTATCACAGAATGTGTTGGAACTGCTGCCTCAGCTTCTCTGTCAAATCGAGTTGAAATAGGCCAACAGGGTAAAAAACAGGATGTTGATTTGGAGGCAAGCTTTTGGTCAAGGCACTGGACTCTGAAATCTCTAAGCTTATGAAAAGTGCCACAATCTCTAATAACTGCAAATGTCAGGGCATCAGCTCTGCTTCCCATGGAGAAGGTCACAGAGAAAAGCAGCCTTTGGAGTCTGAACACCTGCCTCCCTTCAGCCCATGTGCCTAGCTTCCTTCCAGTTTCATTGCAGAGCTCAGAAACCAGTAGCTCCTGCAGGATCCATGACAAACTGGAATTTTTCCTGAGGCAGAAGCCGCATCAAGACAACACCCTATATTTGTCTGACTCAGGTTGCTCTTTCCAAAGGTTTCTGTTGTGATGCTCCACTTGTCAGAGAAGTGGATGATCAAGTTGCAGATATGGGAAGAGCCATTCCCTATAGCAATAGCCCCACACTGGCAGGACGTAAAAGAAAGATTTGGGGCAGGGCAGAACTGCTTGGACTAGGAATTTATCAAGGGAACAGCTGCATGCATCGGTGAGGCTCTGCTCTGCATTATCATTGAAGGAACCTCTTTTATACTCTCCAGGGACTGACATCTCTCAAATTAAGCACCCTGAATTAAGTACATGAAGTCAAAGCACTGGAATTTGTCTCCTGGTCTAAGAGATGCCAATTTTTGTGCCAAAGGGGCAGTTTTGGCAAAGCCCTGCAGGGCCTGTATGGGGATATCTGGATGCTCAGTTGCGCTGAGCATCCTGCAGAAGGAATTCACTAGTAAAAAGATGCTGCCTGGATTAGTTCAGAGGGGGACCTGTGATTCTGGCACAGGCTTTGTCAGCTCTTTCCTCCTTTCCCTCACGCCTCTGATGTGAGCCTGGGAGTGCCAGGAGGAGATGGAGTGAGGGGGGGCAGAGGAGCTTGTCTCTGCTTCTTGTGGGACCTGAAGCACTCTGCTGCACTGATGTGGTACGACAGCTAGCTCAAGCCCATTAGCACTGCTCAGAGACAAGGAAGCTCTCTGCATACCCAAGGAGATTTGCTGCGTCCCATCCACAGCCAACTGCTTGAGCGGGCTTCCTCCTTCTCCCTGATCTTTGCTGCTGACAGGTGCTGGCCAGATGACCTAAATCCACTGGGTTTAAAGAGGAGCAGTGTCCAGTGTTTGTGTGCTCTTCTCTCTCCCTCATGGCTGAAGCATTCAGCCTTAACCCCTTGCTTGTTCCCATGGTCCCTCATCGGCGACCGGCTCTGCACTAACCCTCCTCCTGCCGCCTGGGTGACTGACTCTGCTCAGAGCATGTTTCCATGGGAACTCAACAGTCAGAGATCAGAGACAATTTTCTTGGTTGCTGGACAGCATGGGAAATTGCCAATCAGAGGCTGAAAAACAAGAGCTTGAGAGAAAGTGAAGGAAAAATGGCAGGAGGAGGGTGTGCTGTAACAAGTCGGGGAGAGAAGATCTTCCAGCGCTGCAGGAGTCCCTGCTGAGGAGCCAAAGGAGTCAGTGACCCACAGCAGTGGCTTGAGGATGCCAGCTGATTTGGGATTGACCACTTTAGAAGTGGTGACTGCAGACGTCAGGTGAAACAGCTTGCAGGGTTTCAGCCCAGTTGTGGAGAGATGAAGCAGCTTGGTTGTTGGTAGGGGAATGCCCCTATTTGGAAGCTGCCCGAAGCGAGAGGGCACTAGATCATGGGTTGGGCTCCAACACATGGAGAGGGAGAGAGGTCAGCAGCAGAGGAGCACTTTCACAGGTTCCCCAGTTGCTGCAAAGAGGCATCCTAGGGGAACAAGCCTGGATCCTTTTCCTACATGCAGTCTTGGGAACTGGGCTGTATGAAACGAGAATAACTGTGAAGAAATCTTTATGTTGTTAGTGACTTTATCCCCTTCTAATATTGCCATTCGGGGCATTCAGAAAAGATTCAAAATGAATAGGTGTGTTTCTTTATATTTGCCTTTACAGCTTGCGTCTCTAAGGTGTCACAGTTTTAACCTGTTCTGCATAGCCAGGAAGGCTGGCATTTTTTTCTTCCAAATGCAAGAAAGAAAAGCTGAAATTCCCGCATAAACACAGGATTTCCTAAACATTCTTTTGGTAAGCCCTGTCAGACAACAGAAGACCTGCAGTAAAACTGCAAGAATGGAGACTAGCATCGACTGCTTCAATGCACCTTTCCCAAAGTACAGGGAAAGAAAAATGCTTTTAATCCAACAGAAATGGTATGAGGATGAAACCACAAGAATTACCCAGAAAATTTCAAGGCCTTCTGAAGGAGAAAACAACTAGTAGTTTAATGTTGATTTGATTGCAAGTTGACAAGTTTCCTTTTTGTTCAGTGCATCCGTTGCGAAGTTGTGGCCTCTTGCATCCTCTGTTGCTTGGCAGAGACTGAAGCTTTGGGTGGCTGTGATAACCGTCAGGTCTTTGCACTGAATTAGTCATCAGCCACAACTGGAACCACTTATCCAACTCTCCACTGGTTACCCACTATTCTTCCGCAAAAACCTCACTTTACACAAGATCAGATCCAGAAGAAAAAGGCCAGGGTTATGAAAGTAAAATTATGTCTGTGTAGCTGTATGTTCCCCCTACCTAGAGTTCCAGCTTTTAAAATTTCTAATATAACTGACTTTCCCAATTGTCTTGACACTCCACTGCCACCCTGACCCAAACAGCCAAGACAGCCTGATGCAGTCCCAAAAGAGCAAGGCAGGACCATCAAGTGCATTTCTGGCTGTTAAGTCTTAGTCCACAATTATTTGCTTGTTAGTTTAAAGAACAGAGGATTATTTTACAGCATGTAAAGTCAGTGCAAATATTTCCCAGTGTGTTTCTCCTCTTTGTTGATGTGCTTTTTTGAGGAACTTCTGCTGTGTTTGCAGTCCAAAGGCTGCAGCTTGGTGCATATATCTGAAATAAGGCCTGGCTGCAGCTGCAATATAGATTAAGGGCAGAGGAAGGGGGAACACTGCAGAACTCAAGTGTCACCTGCCGTAGCCAAACTGGGATCACATATGGCACCAAGTGATGTTAATGGGAGCACAGAGCTACTGCTGCTTTGGTTTCCATTCTCCTCTCCACCTCCCAGTAGATATGTTCTTGACTGGTCCCTTTTTTTTTTTTCCACTCCCCTTCCAGTCAGATTTTCACCGTCTCTAGGTGCTATTTTTTGGCTGGTTTGCCCACCAGCATTTCTGAGCTGGCCCTTGGGTGGAGGCAGATGCTGTCTTACTGCTAAGAAGACAACTGTATAGCATCTGGTTTATTAGCTCCTGTGCCTTGGCTGGGGATTATTGGGCACTGCCAGTGAGCACTAAATTTTGGATGGACTCAATCAACTGAAATAGTGTCTCCAAAATGTAACCATTGTCATGCAGGTGCAGGGATAAATGTAGAAATAATTGCAAGAAAAATGGAAGGGGATGAAATTCCCACAGGTTTAGTTATCCAAGGAGTCATGAAAATGGGAAAACTGGGAAATTTGGCCTTTAAAAAATACACAAGGCCATATATTTCAGCCACTTCCAGTGATACAAAATCAGGAGTATCTTTTTGGGACTGTGTAAAAGCCTTAGATGCAGCACTTTTAACCCTTTATCTGTGCTGGATCAAAGTGACAGCGCTGTTGCATGTACATCTAGTGCCTAGTGGAGAGCTGTGCCTGCATGAGCTTGTGCTTAGGCTCTGTGGGGTGTTGCAGCCATATAAAGTAGCTCCCTGTGGTGTTTGCATGGTGGAATAGTGCATCTGTCTGCACATCGCTGTTGCTTACTGAGGAAGTTTGTTTCTGAAGGCACCTGCTGGGGCTGGGTCAGTGTGCAAGCATGTTCCTGTGCATGCGTGGGCCTATGTGCTTGTCCATCAGTGGTGTGTGTGTGCATCTGCTTTTCTGTGTAGATACTTCTTGCATGTGTTCCCAAGTGTGTCTGTATGTGGCAGAGCAGGGGGGAGGAGGCAGCTTCCTTACTTACTTGGGTGGGAACCATCCTCTGAGCCAAGAGGAGCAAAGAAGGGGCTTGGGGGGGCTTTGCCAGCAGTGTGAATGTGTAATGTGTCATCCATTCCTGCCATACATACACACCCCCACCCCTGTAGCCTGCTTTGCTGCTGTAGCTCCAAGACCTGTTGTTTTTCAGGTCACTGCACTCTCAAACAGATAGCAACTTCCCTGACGTGTGTCACATTACATTGGTTTTGTTTGAAGCCAGCCCCTCTGAATCTGTCGCTAACAATAAGGAATCCTTTCTCACTGCTCCTCCCAAGCCGTATCCTGACATACTCGCTCCTATGGGTCATGTCTCCCCGTGCACATTTGGGGCAGTGGCGGAGGGTTAACTCTGTAGTTGGCACAACTGTCTCCTTGCAAAAATGGAGATTGGGCTGGCATTTAGGGTGGGATTTCAGTGTTGTGCTATTTTAATAGCTGTTCACAGCAATCTATGGAAGATGTTGCCCCAACCACTGCTGTGTTTGACTGGATGGCATCAGGCTGTGTGATGGGCCCCTGTGTGTAGTGATGGGGACAGAGAGAGGGAGAAAGCACTCTGCACCTTTATTCCACCTCCACACTTGGCCATCTCAATGAAACCTTAATTCTCACTTCTCCCTGCTGATGGAAGAACCCAGAAGGACCCTGAGCTCAAAGTCCTGGATGTGCTGGCCAGCCTTCCAACCCCCCTGCCAGTGTGACACGGGTACAAAATGCCCTTGGAGAGGGAGGGAGTGGGGACCATGGAGCTGTTTGTTGGCCCTCACCCAACTGTCTTGCATTTGGCTGATCCTATGGTGAGGCAGATTGGGACCCAGGATGACAGGGTTTATTCCAGGCCTTAGAGGGCAGCTTGGTAGACGTACTGGTTAGACTTGGGTAGGAAAGGGCAAATTAAAGCTAAGATGCTTGGTTACGTAGCAGCTGTGGAAACGGCGATCTTGAAGAGAAGGAAAAGGAAACAGAAGCCAAGAGTCCTGGAATTTATTCACCCTGCCTGGATTGGTGTGCCGTACTTCCTAGGGTACTTCGTGGACTTCACACATTGTTCAATAAGGGTATTATTGCCCAGGCAGTTTTTCTTATTACCATTTGTGTTGGATCATTCAAAGGAAAGGGCTAATGAATAGAAAGAAATTATTAATCTTTTGTTTTCCTTTGGGGAGGGTAGGGCAGGGGAAGCCACAGAAACCTTTGCAGGTGTGAGGAGCTTGGGAGGACTCTGCATACTCAACCCTGGAAGCATTTCAGCCAAGAGCAAATCATTTCCATGCCAGGCATGTTTTCAACATTAGGCTGTTTTGTGCTTAAGTGTCCCTATCCTTCTGCTTTGGACTGTAAACCTCATAGAAGGTTGATGTTTCTGTGTTTGCCCCTAGGGGACAGGAAGCTCTTTGTGGGCATGTTAAATAAGCAGCAGTCTGAGGATGACGTGCTCCGGCTCTTTGAACCATTTGGGGTCATTGATGAATGTACAGTGCTCCGTGGACCTGATGGTAACAGCAAAGGTGTGAACCCCTCTGTGTTGTGCCCTTTCTCCCTGCTCTACAGGTAGTGCTCACCTGCCTCACCACCTGTGCCTCCTTTCCACTGGGGCACTTATTTCCCCACCCCATCTTTCTGGGAACCCTTACCACAGCCAGGCATAGGGAGCAGGGCAGGAAGAGTTGTATGCTGCAAGGAAAGATTGGGATAGACGAGCAGAGACCCAAAGTAGAAGGAGGGGAAGCAGAGCACGATGAGTAAGTAGCTGATTTATTAGGATCACTAGTGAGCCTGTTGGCTCAGTCTGGGTCTGCAATTTGAAATGTTTGTACCCACAATTCGAATACATAGAGAATTTGGGGAAGAGGTAATCAGGGGCAAGGGTGGAGATGGTGACATCATCTATAGAGTATATCATTGAAGCGGCAATTTGAGACCCTGTTTTTTTCCAGGAAAGAGGACTTGGGATGAGCCATCCTTTTTGTTCTCTACTTTCTTGGGTGGCTTTCCTTTGCCCTGCCTGAGATCCAGATACTGTCTCCTGCGTGATGATGCAAGGGGCACTTTAACAGCAGTCCTGTTGCTGCAATCTCCTGTGCTCTTTCTGTCCCTTTCCAGGCTGTGCTTTTGTAAAGTTCTCATCTCACACAGAGGCTCAGGCAGCAATCCACGCACTCCATGGCAGCCAGACAATGCCCGTGAGTATGAGGCCAGGGTACCTACCCTCTTCCTAATCCTCTTCCCATCACCACGTTGCAGTGACTTCCCCTCACTGTCCAAAACCATGACAGGTTCAACTGCAGCTTCCAGCTTGAGGTGTTGCAGGGGGGTGGGGGTGGGGAGGGGTGGGGGTGGGGATGGGGGGTGTGTGTACACATCTGTGCCCTTGTCTTTGGGAAACATCCTGTCTCCTGGGCTGGTGTGTGTATCTACGTCTGTCCAGACTGGTAGTGATAGCACTTGCAGCTTATAGGCTAAATAAAAGAGAGCCAAGAACCAGGCCATGAATTTGTTTTGGAGACAGCTACCTGGAGTAGTTCAAAACTGAGCAGGGTGCAAGCTAACAATTCGGCAGTGTGAGCAGTCAGGACTCCAGTGTCTGAGCACACTCCCCACCCATCTCTTATTTAGGCAGTAGAGGAGGCCTCTGGGGCAGGCTGGGTGTGGATGGGGATGCTTTGTGCATTGTGTGGGGTTGCGTAGCCGCAGCTGTGCCTTCTTGTGCAAGTGGAGCTGCAGTTGCGATCTCATCTCTGACAGTCTTTAACCTGGATTGGGGTATCTTGTGGGCAGGACAGTGCATTGCTGCAGCAGGGGTATTTCCAGCTACCAGGAACGGCTCTGCAAGTCCAGCCAAGCTCATGGCGGTAGAAAGATGGTGCTTGTGGCTGACAAGTGGGTGTTCCTGGCTGCACCATCACCTGGTGAATGTGGCCAGGGATGTGTGCACCCACTTATGCAGCTGTGCAAGGCCTAGAGTGTGAGGGGAAGGGCAGGAGAGGGAAGGGAGGGAGGGAGGGAGGAAGGGATGGATGGATGGATGGAGAAGGGCACAGCCCAGGTTCCAGGCAGCTTCCGAGCACTTTCACACCAATATTTGCTCTTCTGCTCATCTTCCCACTCCTCTCTGCTGCCTGTTCTGCCCCATCCCACCTTGCCTGACTGCTGACTCTCTGGCTGTTCCATGGCCTTTTCTCCCCCTGCCTCCTCTCTCTGTCTCCTCTCTCTGTGCCTAGGGCGCCTCCTCCAGTCTAGTGGTGAAGTTTGCTGACACAGATAAGGAGAGGACCCTCCGTCGTATGCAGCAAATGGTGGGGCAGCTGGGGATATTCACTCCATCTCTCACCTTGCCGTTCAGCCCATACAGCGCCTATGCGCAGGCTGTGAGTATCACGCGTGTGTGTGTGGGGAAAGGCTGCCCTCTTGGCTACGGGGCAACACCATACCTGGGCTGGGAGACCACAAATGGGTCTCTGTAACAAATGCGTGAAAGCTTCCCGGCACCTGGGAGTTGTTCTTGGATTCAGTTTCTCCAGTCAGCAGCCTAGTCTTTGTATGTTTCTCTCCTGGAAGGGGTGACAGGAGAGAGCTGGGACCTTCTCAAAAGTGAGGGTGGATTTCTCTGATGTGGTGTAGACTGGCGGAGGTGTCTGGGAACAGGTCAAGCATGACCCGGTAGCTTTCTGTCTTGTTTTGAGGTCAGCTCAGAGCCATGATTCCTGGGTGATGTCTGCCAGACATGGCAGTCTGACAACTTGTGAACTCTTCCTCTGGGTCTATGGTACAAATGTGTGTGTCTCTGCTTTTGGAGCACCATGAGAGCCCTGGGCCGAGCTTCATGTGTTTATTTCTCTGCTGAAATTCTCAGGAGGGCCCTAATCTCCCTAGTGCTGTCCTTAGCTCCTAGGGTTTTCTCTCTTGGCTAGTGTGACTGTGTGGTTTGGAGGATGCTGGAGAGGGAGCAGTGGGTAGCAGATGGTCAGAGGTGTTTCAGCAGTCTGGCCTCCTCTAGCAGGATTGGCTGTGCTTTGGATCTAAGTGAGAGAACCTCATTGCCTTGGAGCCATAGTGGTGATTGCCATTGATGTTTGAGGTAGGTCCCAAACTCAGCAAGTCCCTAATCAGCTGTGGTGGAGGATCTTCTGGGTCTTCTTGGTGACTGTCACTTTCAGGTCTCTGCTACCAAGTATAAAGCCCATGGAAGGAGGCTCAGAAATTGCTCAAGGCATGAGATATGTTTGTGTCAAACAAAGAATTTGAAAATAGATATTGTTACTGAAAGTAGTTTTCAAGGGGCGGGGGCGCAAATAAACCTGTTCTCATATATGTGGACACCTCTGGCTTCAGTGGCTACTTGGTGTGTCTCCCTTCCATCTACATGACAGAGAAGGAACTGTTTCTCAGTTGGCCATTTCCTCTCAAAGAATTCCCAGAAACTGCCAAATGCCATTTAAGTGTGTGGCAAGTGCATGGAGTAGCGAAAAACAAGAGGCAATACATATGAGGCTCCATACTGTTGGGGAGTTTTGGGAACCAAACGTAGAAGTTGTCCAACACAGATTATTTGATTCTTCTTCTGTAATGAGGCTGCGAACAGCTACGCCACTCTGAGCACTGAGGCTTCCAGCAGAAGAATGGTTTAGAGGGGAGAACTCTTTCTGACCAGACACCAGTATCTCTTGCCAGGACCAGTCTTTTCTATCCAGCCCTGTAATCCACAAGCCAGTTATACCTGAGGTCTAAGGTTGTAACTTAGCTCAGCTGTGGGTCAGCTATGACATAATAATTCTGGTGTATCTTCGGCTATCATGGAGATGGCACTAACTTGGACATGGTAGGATGGTGAAGGAGGCAGGAACAGACCACACAGTGAGGTTATGATGGCAGAAAGAACTTCATTAGCTTATGGTCCAGGATGTGTAAGGAAGAAGAGCAGCAAGACCTCCTGCTAATGACAAGAAGCCAGTCAGACCTAGGCTGTGCTCCTTGCTAATCTGCATCTTCTTTCTCTTCAGTTGTGTCTGTAAATTTGTTGCTTTGTCTCCGATCCTTCACTGGCCTTCCTGCTCTGTGACTTGATTTTGGCTTTCCACGTGACTCAAGAGTCAGCCTGTCTCCCACTCTTTCAGGTTTTTACCTCCTTTTCCTTTTCCTTTTCCTTTTCCTTTTCCTTTTCCTTTTCCTTTTCTTTTTCCTTTTCCTTTTCCTTTTCCTTTTCTTTTTCCTTTTCCTTTTCCTTTTCCTTTTCTTTTTCCTTTTCCTTTTCCTTTTCCTTTTCTTTTTCCTTTTCCTTTTCCTTTTCCTTTTTTTCCTTTTTTTTCCTTTTTTTCCTTTTTTTCCTTTTCCTTTTCCTTTTCCCTTTCCTTTTTCCTTTCCTTTCCACTGGTTTTGGTTCTCTCTCCTTCTTTCTGAGGCACTGACCTTACACCTGATTGTTTCTTCTCTTCTGTCATCCCAGTCTTTGGCCTCCTTCTCCTGGAGGAGAGATCCTAGCCAGTTCTGATATTGCATACAGTGTCCCCATCATGGGGAGAGGGTAGGCACTCTTTGAAATGCCATCTAATATCTCTGGAAGTGAGGACAGAAGGGCGGGATTTTCTTGCTGAATCTCCTTACAGCACCACCAAATGTCCTGCCATGGGCAGCTCTCAGGAGCTGGGACCTCTGGTAAGCCAGGGCTCAAGGGATCTCCAATGTAGTTCATGCTTGCATGGTCCAGGGGTTGGAATAGCAGATGCTGTGCGCAAAGTAACTCTCAGGCCCAGGAGATATAGCTAACAATTATGCTTGTGGTTGGATCAGACTGAGAGGAGTGAGTGCTGCTGGGGTGAACTGGTGCATCACAGGCATTGGTTCTTACATTCACAATTTAATATGCCAACAGCTTTCTCTCCCTGTCCCCATGGGATTTGCTGCCTCGCCAAGCCAAAGCAGTCCCCAGAGTCCCCAGCCTTGGAAGAAGTAGTTTGGAGCCTGGGTTGTTTGGGTTTTGTTTGTGTGGTGGTTTTTTTTTTTTTTCCCCTCAGCTGGATGTTTTAAATTTATATTAATTGCATTTTCCTTTAAAAACTATCTCTAGTTTTTCATATCTCTATATGAAATAATCACAAACTATGTTAGGTCTAAAGTTATTCTAATCTATTCAGATATACAAAATAAGATACTAAAAATAGTCAAACAGTATGTGTTAGCTGATACAGTTTGTAAGAAAAATTCTCATACTTATTTGGGAAATATGATGGGCTAAGCGTCTGGAAGCAGTTCAATTCAGTGCTTAAACCAGCTTTTGATCCCAGGTGCCTCCTCCGCAAGTGAAAAGTGAGTATTTCCTTCATTTCAGTTTATTCAATAAGTTGAATTCAGTGATTAGTTAAGATGGATAAGAGGACAAGAGGAAACAGTCTCAAGTTGCGCCAGGGAAGGTTCAGGCTGGATATTAGGAAGAACTTCTTCACTGTAAGAGTTGTTAGGCATTGGAACGGGCTCCCCAGGGAGGTGGTGGAGTCACCATCCCTGGAGGTGTTCAAAAAACGTTTAGATGTGGTGCTTCAAGACATGGTTTAGTGGGTTTAGTGGGCATGGCAGCATCGGGTATACGGTTGGACTTGATGATCTTTGAGGTCTCTTCCAACCGTAATGATTCTATGATTCTATGGAATCAGGGAACTGAGCGGGAGCTGAAAAAATAATTATCAATACAAGAGAGGCCTGAAGTCTTAAAAAAGCAGCCAGTGCATTTACTAACTGCTTATAATGCTTGAATATTTCTTGTATTTCATAAACCAGTTAGTTCTAAACACAAAACATAGTTGGTCCACCA